AGTTAGAAAGTGCTTGTCTATTAGTAGTCACGAAGGAGAGTGCAGCTTACATTTAAAACAAGGCATTTCCTTTTAATCTAGAGGAGCCATCCATTGTGTACACAATCCACTGGACCTAGGAGCTGGGCCTGTATGAGTTGCCATCCGCTGCAAAGCTGTCCTGTAACTTCATTCTCTCATTATCCATTTTCTGACCAGCTCTGCTCAGCCCACTCTAGACCACTGAGATTTCAGTGATGAACTCAGAAGCCTAGGAAGCTTTCTGCTGCATCCATGTAGATCAGAGGTCAAGAGCACTTAACTGCCTGGCTATCCGTGACCCCCAGGTTTGTTCTGGTTTGACACAAGAAAGAAAAAATTAACACCTCTGGCTACCATCATGTAGGAATGGGAAATGCTGTGGTCACTATAAGGAAAAAAACAATCTTCAGCTTTTTAAAAGTTGACACAAAAATAAGAAATTTTCTGTTCCTGTAATATATCTCCAGCTTTTACCTTTGCATGTCCAGTCCTGGGTATCCTCTTCCTTGTTTTCATTTTAATGTAAAGACAGTCAGCTCTTTCAGTGTAAAGGACTGCAAATTGCTTTACTGATAGCACAGTTACTAAGAAATCTAGCATCATTATACATGAAATTACTGAAAACTTTAAAAACACATTAGAGGGTCTTTTGTAAGCTCCTTTAATGGAGGTTTTCATATGCATAGGAGTGTTTTGCCTACATGCATGTATATGTAACTAATATGCTCTTGATGCCCACTGAGGCCAAAAGAGGACATCATATTCCCTGGAACTGAAATTATGGTTGTGAGTTGCCATGTGGGTGCTAGGTACTGAACCCTAGTCCTCTGTAATAGCAGCAAGTACTCTTAACTAGTGAAAGGTCTTTCTGACTCAAAGGTCTTGTCTTTTAAGCCTTTGGGAAAATGAACTGCTTTCTAAATAGAGGACTATGGCTCACTCTGAATTCCTCTCAGCTTTGTGTGAGTGATGGACCTGACTGAGCAGCTCTGACTCAGGTTTGCCCAGGATTCTGCCTATCAGTCATGCCATCCAGAGCTCTGGTAAATAAACTATAAGTTGGTTCTGATCAGTCACCTGTATAAAATCCACATTTTCCCACTTTTTTTATTCTTTAATAAGTAAAATCCAGTTAATACTAACATTGGTTGTTCAGGGAGCCCCAATCTCTATCTTCTGTATCTGTGCTGGTTCATTTCTGCCAATTTGACATCACCTAGCAGAATCTGGGGAGAGGGAATCTCAGTTGAGAAATCGCCTCTGTCTGATTGACCTTAGACAAGTCTATGAGCCGTATTTTTTCTCTCTCTCTGTATGTCTCTCTCTCTGTATCTCTCTCTCTCTCTCTCTCTCTCTCTCTCTCTCTCTCTCTCTCTCTCTCTCTCTCTGTTTGCCTGTCTCAAAGAATTTTCTGGATTTTTCTTGATTAGTGATAATCAAGCAGGAGCACACAGCCCTGGGTTATATAAGAAATTTCAATAGTATTGATAATTTGCAGTTGTAGAAAATTGTGGAATGACTACATATAATATTTTGCAAGGGCTTTTGAGGGAGGCGCTTATGTACAACTGATCTTTTCTCTCTTCTTTTGTTCTTTGTAATCAGCAAAGCCTTTGTTATGTTACCAAAGTGGGAAAAATAAAGTTAAATGTTAGCTTTGATGCCTTAATACTATTTGATGCATACAGTGTCTGATTGGAGTTTTCAGAGGAATATTCTCTCTCTCTCTCTCTCTCTCTCTCTCTCTCTCTCTCTCTCTCTCTCTCTCTCTCTCTCTCTCTCTCTCTCAGAAGTGACACTATCCTGAAGATGCTAGGCAGAATAATGGCCCCAAAAGAGGTACTCACATCCTAATTCCCTGGATTCTGTAAGCAAGTTACCTTCTATGTAGGTGTGGTTAAAGCTGCAGATCTTGATTTTATTTTGAATTTTCTGGGTCATTAAATTAAAGACCAGGGTCCTGTGAGAGAAGAGCTAGTGTCCGTGAGAAGAGAGAACCAGAGTGAGATGGTGACTGGAGCCAGGGAATGCCAGCTCCCTCTAAAAGCAGTGGAAGAGGCAGGAGCGCAGAGCTTCATGCTTAACTAGGGCAAAGGGATCTGGGTAGGGAACACAGAAAGTGCCAACTTATAGAGTGGCCACCTCTGTACCGAGAAGCCAAAACTTCAGAGAGCAGCACTCCTTTTCTATGACCCTGCCTGTTTAGACGTGACCATAAGCTTGGGCTCCCTGGCTCCCCCTCAGGAATCCAGAAGGTTCTCTGTACACCTTTCTCACCATGAGAGTACACATAGAGGTATCATTTGTTAGATAGTACATTTGATCTCTCCTGGACATGGCTGCCATGCCCAGTCTTACTTGGGCCATGTTCTGCTTTTTCCTTAAGAACTCAGCCTGTGAACTATATAGGCAGTGTTCTGAGCTGCACTGACTGCAAAATCTGACATTGTGGATACTGTGACATAGCCTAGACCTTCCTGGGTTTTTTTTTCTTCATTAGATTCTGAATTGGTCTGTGATTTGGAGCTGAGCAGCCCTTCTGCAGCTTTTCCTAGGAACTGTGTTAGTTGCAGAAGGGCATGGCCAGCTGTTCTGAGCTCATCAATGCCATCTTGGTAGTTTGCAGTACCCAGATCATGGCAGACAGAGAAGAGATCAGATCATGTGTTTCTGGCTTATAATAAACTACAAAGGCTGAGAAATCATCTGTCTGTCTGTCAACCTGCTGCCTAGTAGTTCAAGGAAATTTCAGAGCATATGCATTTCAGCTACCTGGTTTCACTACTGAAAAGTAAGCCCCAGTGAGCTACAAAAGTATGCTAAAAATCTCAAATTCTCTGTGCCCATGGGCAAGGAGGACTGTGGAACTTCTATAGGAGGGCTGAACCTTGACTCATCTACTCTGATACTTTGAAAAATATACCTATCTTGTTCAGCATTCTGTATACAGTGGTTTCTATTGAATTGCTTGTATATAACAAGCAAGGCCATTTTCTGCTTTGTGAAGTATTATTCTTTAGTAGTTTTGACTCCTAATCAAGAACTCCATTTTTAAGCCCTGACATCTAACTGATGTCATCCAGTTAGAAGTGTCAGTGGCCTCTTTCTAAGTTTCCTTCCTTAGGCCTTTTGGATAGTTCAGGCCCCTGAGAAACTAAAAGTGTGTATAAAGGTTAATGCAGGGACTATTGACGTTCTAATTATACCTGAAGTGGGTCTTTGGGTTTTGTTTTTTAATGAGTAGAATAAGGTAGTTACACTTAGTAACACCCATTCACCCAAAGGAGGGGGAGGTGTTAAATCATCGTGGTTTTTGATGAATGGCTTGTACACTGAAAAATAAATTGGACAAACTGGCACAGAGCTCAGTGAACATGAAATCAGCTATTAGAAGAAAGCTTGTGAACAAATTCTGAGGTAGATATGCATCTTTTGATTAATGCCCTATCAATCATCCACACAGCTACCTTAGGTGAGTCTTGCTGTAATCATTCATGGTTGCTTACAGAAATACAGGCAGGAACTATACCAATGCAGAAACAGAATATTACTACTGATTCTTCTAACCTACTGTGAACAATCACTGTTTTTTCCCTGTTTCTGCTTTCCTTTATTAAGGAAATACAATGTAAAATGAAAGGAGAGTTCCTCAAAGCCTGCTGGATTTCTCCAAGGGTATTCTTAATGGTATTCAGTCTTAAATGGGCAAGCCATTGTAAAGGAAAACTCTCTGTAGGAATAATAGTAATGAATTCCCATTGAAGCCGCCCTTTTATGGGTTATAGTCAAATAGACAAAAATGTAGAGTCACATTAATGAGGGGAGTATATCTCTGATTATTACTTAAAATAGTTGAAATGGTTTGAATTTTCTTATTGTAATTATTTTATTCTCAGTTAATGTGCTTAGCAGCAATAGTAATTAACCCACCAGATTGGAAATTTGCATGAGTTCTACTTTTAATATTATGAGAAACTCTGGTTCTTTCTGGATGACATTATAGTTGTGTGGGTGTGTGCTTTCACACATGTGTGCATGTGTGTGAATTTATTCTCATTTTTTATAGAGGGTAATTTTCCATATATGGAGTTATGATTCTCCATGCATTTTTAGGCCACTGGAAAAGTCCTCCAGAGCCTGCTGTTGCTTTTAGAGGATTTAATTCCTAAATTGTGCTCACACAAAAATCCTGTAGCCACTGCCTGGAGTATCCTGCAGGATAAGTAGCACTTCCTGGAAAGTGATTGTGGCCTGGGATATAGGTGGCAAAATAAAGTGGTGACAGGCATTAGCATGCATAATGGGCTGTAATAGACACTCAATGTCATTGTGCTGGAGGAGGGAGCTGTGCTCTCCCATTGGAATATCCCCCCCATCAAAACCCATTGATCACTGATTTCAGTGGGGAGAGGTTAATCCATCAGCTTCTGTAACCAGACGGCACTGATGGAAATTCTTTAGGTGGCATTCTGGATGAACCAAGCTTTCCATCTTTACAAACAAATGAGTGATATGACAACCATGGTGTTCAAAACACATTTAACCAATTGATTTTCTTTCCTCTTGTAATAAGATCTGGAGACATATGAAAGCGATCGGTGTGAGCTAAGATTAAAGGAATTGTTCCATGCACAGAACAAGTGGGACCCAAGGCACATAAAAGTACTATAAAGCATATATTCACCCATTCTCTTTTTTATATAAAGTTTGTTATTGCAATAAATAGTTATTATTGAGCCAGTGCCCCTTATTTCCACTTTCTAGCATCTTGCATCAGGGCTATGATGTAGGGAAGATGTGGGCACACATCTGCTTGTAGTGTTCTGTTTTTTCTTGGAAGTGTTCAAGACACTTGGCAGTAATTGTTTCTAACTTCTCACAACAGACAGACCTGGTGTGGTTTGGGTGGCTTCAGTCAAAGCTGTAAACTTTGTGATGTCAGCATAAGTGACACTTTTCCTTTTTATCTTCCTCCACAGCCCTGCTTTGAGCTTCACCTACCCCTCTGCCCCTGTGTCTCTCCATATGCATCAACAGATCCTAAGCCGACAGCAAAGCTTGGGCTCAGCATTTGGACACAGTCCTCCACTCATCCACCCTGCTCCAACATTTCCAACACAGAGACCTATCCCTGGGATCCCGACAGTTCTCAATCCTGTCCAGGTCAGCTCTGGCCCTTCTGAGTCCTCACAGGTGAGAGACACAACTTTGGTCAGCAGAGGCCTTGTCATTACACTGGCTGTTAGTGCCATAGAGTTCATCATTATGGAGGTTTCAAACGGACATCTTGTCTTCTGTCTCCGAAGGTGTATTCAGCTTTGATGAATGTGAACCAAAACATACTGCATCAGAACCATTTGCTTGTGATTTAAAAGTGGGATGCCTGATAATGCCCTACTCCAGCTGTCTGTAGTGTACATCTTCTGTTGATAGTCTGTTTTTAGACTATCAGCCTCTGTCCACTCCCTCCACTGTAACCAGGCTACTGCCCAGCACTGTCTACTCTAGATTAAACATAAACCTCCCGTCTCTCTACTCTATTGCCAGCCAGGTGTGATTTAAAGAATCTAAAAGCTATAATTGAAGAACTTCAGTAATAGTTTGTACTGATCTCCCACCCAAACTCAACTTTTTGAGGTATAACTATAGCTTCTTGAAGTCTAGGGCTCTTGCTCTAGTCTTCAAGCTTTTGAAAGCCACAAGCAATTGATACTCATGAGTCAAAAGTGAAGAATTCTCCGTGAAGGCATTATCTAGTTTTGATCATATCGTGTGGACTCTCCTATGGGTGATTGCCATTATCAGAATAGGTGCCTTGTCATCAAATAAGCTTGTTTGTTTTCAGTAACATTTTCATTTGTGCTCTAGTTATTAATCAATCCTCATTTTTCCCTCGCCCCTGCAAATATGGCCAACAGAACAAGCCCACGAGTGAGTCTGCAGTGAGCAGCACAGGTGATCCTATGCATAATAAACGGTCCAAGATCAAACCCGATGAAGACCTACCCAGCCCAGGGCCCCGGGGACAGCAGGTGAGACAGCTGGGCTTCACAAACCACCTTTTACTACTCGCATAGTAACTTTGGGTCAGTCCCCCCTCCTCAAGACTCATACACATTTTCTTACTTACTGTATTCTTAACATTGACTGTGTGTTTGAAAATGAGCTAGTTAGGGATCGATTGAATTCATTTCTCTAGTTCAAAAGTAAATACCAGCAAGGAAGGAAGTTCTACTGGGTACATGTTCTTGTTAGGTGAGACAGCTTAGGAGTTTAAATCATCACAGTACATAGAGTTGCTGGCCATACTCATCTGTTGCTGACCATAGGTATGATTAGGCTTTTGATCCCTGACCTTGGGCCACAATCACCAAGCTTCTGAATCCATGCTTAAGATGAGACAGAGCTTGTGATGTCTACTTCATGGATTGTGTCCTCCACTTTTCTGCTTTTCAAGGGGCTCAAAGAACCAAGAAGGATTGAAACATGGCCAGATAGATTCTGAACTGTATGTATTGCTGCTGGTCACGTAGGTCTGGTTCCACTGAAGAAAATGTAGGTTATATCCAGTTTGCCATTTCATGTGCTCTTGAGCTAGACAAGATGAGTTTAATCAGAGGTGTTTCCCCCAAATAAGACTGAACCTTGCTATCAGCAGTATGCTTCCACCCAAGCCTTAGGGAATGAGGCCTGACTCCCTTGGTGAGAACTTAGAGAGTAGAATAAAGTTGTCATAGGGCATCTGAAATCTTCTTTCTTACAGTTTGATAGACAACAAACAGCCTTGCTGATTATACCATGGTGTGTGCATGGATTGTTTATCAGATAGCCCTTGATCAGGGCGTAGATCTATACATCTAGATATTGCCTGGAATACTGGAGATTCTTTGACTCACATTTACTGTAAAGCTGTTGTGGAGGACTAGAAAAGGCTGTGTGCACAGCTTCAGGTATTCTCTTTCCCTGGCCTCAACTGTGAGACAGACCAGCATCCCCCTGAAAACCAGAGGCTAAATCCAAGAAGGCATGATCCCTGAAAGAAAAGTCCACAAAGTACCTCTCATAGTATGGAAAAGAACTGAAAGTGTTCAGAAGCCATCCCCTTGCATTATAAAACATTAAGTAAACATATTGAAGGGAATCAAAACAACCAAACAAAATCGGGCCAATTTGGGGGAGGGTAAATACTTGATACTTTTATGGGTATTGCTTAGGTTTTTTTTGCCTCAAGTTTGCTTTTTGTTGTTTTTATTTTTAAGATGTCAGTTTGGTTTATATTCCAGGAGTAGGGTTTGGTTTTCGGCTTTTTGTCTTTGTTATGATTGACCTACTCTTACCTCACAAGTAAAAATGATTTCAGGATATCAGAATTTTAAAAAACAGAACAAAAAGAAACACAAATGCTAGACTTCTTTATTCCACAAGACCCAGCTGATATACCTGGCTTCCCTTTCTTTTCCTGAAAAGTGGAGGTCAGAGGAAAGCGAACAAAGTCCAATGTCTGCTTTCTTGGGTCTCCCTTCCCACTGGGCCTGATTTTCCCTCTCTGCTTCCTGCCTTCCCCTACGACAGGAACAGCCTGAAGGAACAACCCTAGTCAAGGAGGAAGGGGACAAAGATGAAAGCAAGCAGGAGCCTGAAGTCATCTATGAGACAAACTGCCACTGGGAAGGCTGCACAAGAGAGTTCGACACCCAGGATCAGCTTGTGCATGTAAGTGACTGGTGCTCAGAGACGGGGCTTCCCAACTCGGTGACCTTTGCATGAGGTCAGCTTCTCTGACCCTGCACGGAGTCAGGTTTCGTAGCTGGCAGCACTGAAAACTGGAGAGGGCTTTATGATTTTTCTGAGAATAAAGAAAACTCTGAGCCACGGTGCTTGACCTGTTCAGTCAGCTAAAGCTTAGTGTAAAATTCAATAAAGTCTTCAATAGAGAGTGTAATGACTCTGATCCTGTAAGCCAGAAAACACTATTTTGAGTTTGAGGCTTTGATGGTTATTGAGTAATAGTAAGCTGGACATGAATTATTATTAACCTTTTAACTAAGTTTGATTCCCCTTCCAAGACCCAGTAACAATATAAAAAATTACAGAAACAGATGGTTCCTTTTTTTCCTCCTGTAGACTTCAAAGTTTAAAGAGCCTCCCATTACTGTAGCAACTGGTGCTTTATTTTTGACCCAAAGGCAACATTGTGGGTTAAAACTTGCATGGAAAAGAATTGTGTTAATGATGAAAACCCCACAATACTCACATTGGGGCGTCTTTCCTTCTCTTGCCAAAGCAAGGCCAGATGCCTTTTACTCACTTTCTAGTGTTGTTTCAGGTAACATGGTATACCCATGTGTCCTTTACCAAGGCATGCTTGGCATAGTCTCAAAGGCCAGTAGAGCCTTCTGGATAAATGAGACCAAGAATAACTGACATGGAAACATCATGTAGAGTGTCTGGAATATGAGGACACAGGCTCAGATCATTTCTATAGAAGCATAGGTCTCTGTTCTGGCATTAAAGGTGGTTTTACCAAATAGGACAGTTTCTTGTGCTTCTACTGTGATACAGTCTGACCAAGCATCCCTGTAGTGCTTGGCTTCTTTCTCTTGAGCACATGCAGGAAAGAGACATTAATACTCACCTCTTACCTCTCTTACCTTACAGTATCTTCACCTCGTAGGAGACCTGTGTTTATTGTAGCCCTCTTTTTTGACTAAACTCTAAAATTATAAAATCTCTATATGTTGTGTGAACTTTTAAATTGTTTTTGCATCTTAGATCATTCTGTAACATATCTTGCATAGTTACCTAGTAGCACAACAGCACCACAGATTATGAGAAACCTTATCTGCAGACTATTAGATTTCACACCTCACCTTCAGAACCTTCTTCTCCTTTTCTTTTTAAATTGCACCACTTTGTATTTCTATAAGTAGAATGATAGATTTCTCAAGCACAGCCAAAACTAAATAAAATGTTTTTAATTAAGGTATATTTTCAGATTTTTCCACACATGTAATTTGATTGGATTTTTTTCCTCTTTGGTTTTTTTCAAGTATGTCTTAATGAAACTTTATATGTGCTGACTCCTTTAATGGAAAGTACATAGGCCTACTAAGAGGGGAGAAGTTAGGAATTCTCCCCCCACCCCCATGAGGAATTATTCTCAGAGAGTGGCATATGCCTGGAAAACTCCCATGGAGGACTGGGATTGGCAGCACCTTAACCTTTTCATTGCCTAACTCATGTAAGGCTGGCTTTGGTTTGGGTGTTCCCCTTTTTATGTCGTAAGGGCATTGTAAAGGCAGAGACTGTTGTATTGTTTTCTGTAATCTTGACACTGAGATTCCCCTGTTGTTCTCATAGCTTGGAATCGTTTTAAGGAGGCTCCAGGAGCTGCAGCTTGAATGGCCACAGCATTTATGATTACATGAAAACTATCTTCCTACATCATGACTACACACATGCACAGGGGAACTTTAAATCAGATAAAAGAGACTGGCGTCAGGATTTAGTCAAATTCTAGTGTGCTACCTTTATGACAGTAATTTTAGTCTATGTGAAATTACAAGAGTAAGGAGATTGAGTCAAGTTCTCCCATTCTTATTGCTCACATCCCATCTAAAGTGTAGAAATTCCACATTTATGCATTTCAGTGGCCTTTTCATGGCCCATACACAAGTATGTGTTCCTGCTCTGGGTGCTACTGGAAGCATTAGAGGTGGCCCAGTGCAGAATGAGGGCTTTATATTTTGATGATTAAAGTAACAGGTACTTCAAGTCTACCTAATTACTTTGGTGACAGATGGAATATATACCAGTTGCAAAGCCTGTTTTTAGAGACAGAGGGAGGCATTAACCATTTTGGTTCCTGCCACTTTCCTTCCTGGAGAGCAGACATTTTCTGATTAGTTGAATTTCCGTGCCACATACAACCAAGCGGCAAGGTGTTAAACCATTCTGTTGCTCTGCCTTATTTATAGCCATGACCCATTCTTTCCCCCCTCTTACAGTTAATAGAAAGATTCATGATTCTTCATGGTTGTCTATCTAGTGTCTGACAGTCCCGACTGCCTGCTAAAGCAAGTCACTATCTATAATTGATATCCTGCCGTGGAATAGGGTGCTGGCTGCAATTGAAGGGCTTTGCTGAAAGCCCTTAAATCCTGACAAGTTCTCCCCTTGTTCTGCTTCAGTCGCTGAGCTGCAAGGTTGGAATTCCAGAGCTATTTGAACTTGGTGCAAAAGAGAGACATGTGTTTCACATTAGCAAATCGCAAAGTTGAAGAACTTTGCCAGCCAGTAGTCTCATTTGCAGTGCAGTGTACTGCGTGTTCTAGGGAGCAGATTACCTCCTCTATTACTCTCTGAACAGATAGACAGAATATTGCCTTTTCCTCTTTCCTTATTTTCCAGACCCCTTTCCTTTCCCAAATGATTGTTATTCTAGGTGTGCTGCTGTGGGATCTATTATCACAGCAATGTGTAATTAATTTCATTTCTCAGCAAGATAATTGTAGCTGGGCCTAGTTGCTTTCCAGCCAGGTAGTCATATATTTACCTTTATTACCAGAAGCTAGGAAAATAGACATACATTTTTGTTCACCGGGTTTTTGTTATGCTTTGTCCATTTCTTAGTATCAGTTAAAATAGAACAAGAAAAATATGTAGTAAAGTTAATACAAGTACTTCTGACTGGTTGTATGTCTTATATTGATTTGTCAAGATCCACACCTGACTTCTGAAAGGCACATATTCTGTGTTTCAGGATAAGCTGCAAGCTCATATTTCTCTTCAGTTTTGAATTGGCGACTCTGCTGTGGTCATTATGTTACATAGGACCCACATTTTAAATGTAAATGTGCTTCTGAAGTTGGACAGTGTCAGTTCTCAGTGTGTGCTCTTGCTTTTGCTGCTTCTTGCTTACATGACTTGGCTTGTGTTGTGGGAAGAGGCTCAGCCTGGCTTCCAGGCTTTGCTGAGTTCTGCTTCTTTCTGTGAATTTTGTTTTAGAAGGGAGTTGGTTTTAACTTTGGTGGTAGAAACATTTGACATCCCCATAGCACAAAGGTCAGGGTCATCTCATATCCTCTCAAACCTGAACATTTCAATGGCAAATGAGGCTGTCTCCACCGATGTATTGCAAGGCTTTTTAAAAAGAAAAAAAAAGTGTGTGTGTTTGTGTGTTAGGGGTATTGTGAAAATTGTATATTTCAGAGTGATGTTACCACTGCTACATGATCATCTATGCTTAAAAACATCCTTGTTGAGATCTGAATAAAGAAAAATGGTGTAATCATTGAACCTCTTGTTCACCTCATCGTCCTTGGTTTGAACAAGTCAACTCTCTACTCTTGTTTAGTAACTGATACACATAAGATTTTTCCCAACTGTCTAAGAGCAGTTTTATTCTTCAGTATAATTCTAAACAGCATGACCTAGGACAGAAGTTCCTTGGCAATGGCAAATGGGGATGGTGTCTTTAAGACTGATCATCAGAGATCATGAGATGTATTTATGATAACACCCAACTTCAACTGGGTGGCATTTAAGTAAATGTAATCCTCCTTATGGATTTTTTAAGCATGGTGTCAGTTTTTTGTTTGGGGTTTTGTTTGGTTGGTTGGTTGGTTGATTTTTGGTTTTTTTTTTTTTTTTTTTTTTTTCTTTTTGAAGAGTGAATAACTACCTATCTGAATTATTAATGCTTTCATATGCTGCAAATTTTGATCTTCGAAAGTATGGTGAAGTTCCCTTATAATCATTTTTGCTACCAGTTGGAAACATCCTATACATTTGCAGCATAAAAATCAAGGGCTTTGATTTTTAATATCAGAGGTTTAGATGTAAAGAAAGTTCTTCTAACTTGGGAAGAATTGTATCTGTAAAAACACAGGAAAGGTTTGATGCCAATATATATTGTTTTCATATTAATGCCTTCATCCTAAATTTACATTTTATGCTTTCTGTCTAATTTTTATCACTATACTGAACTTTCATTGTCCATCCTTGCCTAAGATAAAATTGAGTTTAAGATGTGAGAATGGTCTTACACATGTGCACAAAACATCTAAAATGAACAAGTAAAGATTTTGATCTAATTTCCTTCTCCATGGAGTTGCTAGTTAATTATCTTGCTCCAATTATTTGAAATATGGCATGTAAAGTACAGACTAAAAAACTACAAACTTCAAAGTCACTCTGCAGTGACTGTGCCTTAAGGGTCATATTCTTTGTGATGTTGCTGACTAAATTTCACCTGCAGAAAGCATTTCTGTGAAAACATATCCAAGAAATTGGTCTGAAAGGTCAGGGAATGAGAGCTTTGTGGTCCACTGCTAAAGCACCCATCAGGCCCAGCTAGATTCTAAGTGGCAGCCTCATCCCTGTCCTGTACTCTCAGGATGCCCTCTCAGGCACCCTTTGACAGTTTCAGACATTATTTTCTCACTTATCAGACTGTGAAACAGTCATGAAAATAATACTGTCCACAATATCCAAGGCCAAGCAGAGATCACATACAGTGGGCCTAGTGAGAAACAGACATCAGGTCTAAATGAGGCAAATTCCAACTTGGGTTTGGTTTTTTGAAGATTAGGTTGGGGAGGATGGTGGGATGATTCTGTTGGTCTTTTGGGCTTCTGTGTCAGTTCTAAGGCTTATTTTATGTTACTTGATGCTAGCCTGGCCAGTAATATGTTGTATGGGCTAGAGAGTGC